ACTGGTCTGACTCCATAGTCATTCTCCTCCTCAATCTGTTAAAATAGTCAATCACCCTTTCTCCTCATCTGCATGTTTCTCTCCCTGGGCTTTAGTGATTCTGATGCCCTCTTTCTTCTTCTACCCTCTACCTAATACTGTATTTCTTCTTCATTTTTTCTTTATTTATCCATTGGTATGCATAGTTCTGTCTTTAGACCCATCTTCTTCTACCCTATCCCAAGGAAAATTAATCTGCTCATGCTGAATCAATGACCAATCTCTGTAAAATTACAATTTAGCAGATTATATAAAGTACTATTTATTGTATTATTGTTAAAACATTTAATACATGTTACTTCAGTAGAGCACACAGGAATCTGCTATAGTCAGTAATTAGAGATTATCTCCTGCTCCTGTTACTCAACAGGAATTTAATTAGCTCTCCTATGAATGGCTATCTTGAACACTAAATATCTCTGTCTTCCCAAACTATCTTTGCACAGTGATAGAAATGTAGCTGAGTTAGTCTGGTATAACTGAAAGACTAACAAGATGGTTTATTAGGTGATGAGCTTTCGTGGGCCAGACCCACTTCCTCAGATCAAATAGTGGAAGAAAATTGTCACAACCATAGTCTTTAAAGTGCTACATAGTCCTGTATCTTTGCACAGTGTTGGATTGCTTACTCCCCTTCTGTTGTTTTCTGGATTATTTTTCAACTATGACAACCTCAAAAGAGCAAAAATTGTACTTCTCCACTTTCCTTCAAAAGCTTTTTGCTCTTTTTTCCTTCTGCATAAATTTAGGGTATCGCAGGTTCTTTCTAAATACTGTTATTTTCTCCCCTACATCAACTCTGAAGTCCTTCAATTTTGGCACAGGAATATAGGGGTCTGGGATAGACAGGTAATGAGGGAAGTAAAAATCTAGTCTTGAAGAAATAAAAAACAGTGGGTTTGAGACAGTGAAAGGAGGATGTGTCCATCTAGTTATTGACAGAAAGCACATCTTTTCTGTTGCTTATGGTACAAAGATTATAAAATGTTTAGTGGGACAGACAGAAGTTGTGTTCCTAATATATTGTCATAAGCTAGAATTCATCCCTTGTAAAAGGCTAACATACGGGGTTTAGGCACCACTTAATCCCTATTTAAAACCTTAAGGCTACGTCTACACTACAGGCTTCTTGCACAAGAACTGTTTTGTGCAATTCTTCTTGTGCAAAAGATCTTGTGCAAGAGTGCATCCATACTGCCATGTGCTTTTGCACAAGAGATATCTTTTTGCCCAAGAGCATCCATGGTAATGTGGACACTTTCTTGCGCAAGAAAGCTCTGATGGTCATTTTAGCCATCGGGATTTCTTGTGCAAGAAACCCCTGTTGCCCATCCACACTGCTTTCTTGCAAAAGATCTCTCGTGGGGAGAGGAATAACTCTTGCGCAAGAAGCCCTCTTTTCTGATGATTTACTGTAAATTTTCTTGAACGCGCGAGCAGTGTAGATGCTCAACAAGTTTTTGTGCAAGAACGGCCATTCTTGTGCAAAAAGCCTGCAGTGTAGACATAGCCTAAGTGTAACTGCATTGGCCTTGCACTGGCCATATACATAGGTATAAATTTCACAAAGAAAGGCAATTTCAGAGCTGCAACAGACATTTGAGCTTTTTGCCATCACAAGATATTATTCAATGCAAAATCCCACTTATGCTTTAATTACTGTGAATCCAGCAAAAACTTGATTTTTTAAATCAAATCAATTATCAGTGTGAATTTATTTATTGCTCACTTCTGAGGCCCACAATTTAAATGTATGAAATAGTTGTGAAAAATGTTTATTGGTTTGTATACCAAGGTATTCAGCTATAACCTTACATAAAAACATAAGAACGGCCGAACTGGGTCAGACCAAAGGTCCTTCTAGCCCAGTATCCTGTCTGCCGACAGAGGCCAGCACCAGGTGCCCCAGAGAGGGTAGACCAAAGACAATGATCAAGCGATTTGTCTCCTGCCATCTCTCTCCAGCCTCTGACAAACAGAGGCCAAGGACACCATTTTATCCCCTGGCTAATAGCCTTTTATGGACCTAATCTCCATGAAATTATCTAGCTTCTCTTAAACTCTATTATAGTCCTAGCCTTCACAGCCTCCTCTGGCAAGGAGTTCCACAGGTTGACTACACGCTGTGTGAAGAAGAACTTTCTTTTATTAGTTTTAAACCTGCTACCCATTAATTTCATTTGGTGTCCTCTAGTTCTTCTATTTAGGGAACTAATAAATAACTTTTCTTTATTGGCCCTCTCCACACCACTCATGATTTTATAGACCTCTATCATATCCCCCCTCAATCTCCTCTTTTCTACACTGAAGAGTCCCAGTCGCTTTAACCTCTCCTTAAAACATGTTAAAGAACTTGTACATTTTACTAAAATGGAATGGGAATAGGTACTATTGAAAACAGTTGCAGAAACCACATAAATTGGGTTATAAAATATATATTATTTTTGCTAGTGTCTCTAGCCTGTTTCTTGGCTTCAGTAGGTTTTTAACACTGACTAATATCAACTTCTCCACATGGACTACATTTTTCTTTTATTACCACCATTCTATTTTCTACTCTCATCATGCTACACAGCAGCCTACATTTTCAGGAAAGTTCTTGGATTAACAGCTTTATGGAAAATTGCAAGACCTTAGTCAAACATTGTATGTCCAGACAATTCAGGGCAGATTCAGTGGATAGGTCAGACTGAAATGATAAAGCTGAACACAAGGACATTTGGGGGAAAAGCCAAAAGATGATAGCAAAAAGTACAAAACAGGTGAAAGGTAATTATCTAGGAGAGAAAGAAAAAGATATGAAGGCTCCTAGGAACCCTGCAGGAAATTGCATTTTACTTTGGAAAGGACAGATATTAGCAGAGTAATGGGAAGGTTAAGAAGAAGAAAAAACAACATAGAAAGAAGAGACACAGAGCAAAACACTATAATTATTTAGAAAAAAATCAGTAATTCTAAAGAATAAAGAACAACTATTCAGAAACAAGAAAATGTTCACAAAAGATGTCAAACAGAAGAAAAAAGCAAATCTATTGGTAACTTGAAAAAATAATTTCAGAAATGCTAATCTTGTCTCAAACTACAAAAATAAAGACATCCAAAGTTAAAGACGACATTCTGTTTTAACCTGCTATACTATGCTTAAGTAGCATAGCTAACATGGCATTTAGTGAAACCCTCCATAAGCAAGCAGACATTTGGCACTCTCTCACATCTGAGGCCATATCTTCACTTGCTGCCTTGGAGATCGATTTTCTGGTGTTTGATTTAGCGGGTCTAGTTAAGATCCACTAAATCGAACACTGAGGGTGGCTCTGCTTGGTGCCGGTACTCCTTGAAGTCGTAAGGAAAGACTCCTTCTGTGAAGACGGTGCCAAGTTCGGCTTAAAGTAAACCAACTCCAGCTATGTATTTTACATAGCTGGAGTTGCGTAGCTTAACCTGACCTTACTGTACAATAGACAGTATAATATCTTCTAATTAAGTGGGGTTATTCTATCCAACAGTGTTCTCTCAAACTTTAGATGCCTGACCCTGAGTAATGCTGCACATAATGAACATTTGTAAACATCGGGTATTTTTGCCTGCTGTTCATAAACAGCTTATTAGTGATAAAACCAGAAATGGGCAAGTACAACTTTAAAGCAGCATGTCTGTTTCACATGTAGCTGAGGAGAAAGGACACTACATGTTTCTGGTTTCATTTAAAGTTAAAATCCACAGCTTGATTTTTCAGAAGTACAGCTCTCTTTGAGCCTGGGGGGAATTGAAAGTATTCAATTATGGGGGGGGGGGGGGAGGAATTATTTAGGAACAGGGGTGATATTAAAAAAAAAATCTTACTACTTGCTACAAAAAAAATGTATACTGCCAAGAAAATGAAAAAATATTTTTGATCATGCTTTGTATTAAAGTTCAATTTATTAATGGTTGATAAAGGGTTAATAACAATTTAATAGAAGATACAAAAATGTTACATGCATGAATAGTGTGCATTACAGATGGCTATAATCATACCTGGAGGCTTATATAACAATCTAGAAGGTTCATATTTTATTAGAATACCTATTATCAATTATTAACTATTTATAAGCCATTTATAAAGGTAACATTACTATAATGTGATTATATTTGGGTTTTTCAGTGCACAGAATATTGTTGAGTTTCATTGAAACCAATATGAAGCCATTTAAAAATGCACCTGCATAGTGCTGAGCTGGATAGACAACAATGCATTCCTACAGACATTATTAATTATTTGTCACCATTTCTGTAACTGTGACAATATAGATCTATATCTGTAACATTCTGATGATGAGTCTGCCACCTCTATTGTACACCCTTTTAAACATTTTCTGCCAGAAAGGCTTAACCAATGGTGGGCCGCCAACTGTCTCTCTGCTCTGTCTTCCTCCTCTCCTCCACTAATCAAAATTCGGTACCTTGACCAAACTGACAGACAGACAGACAGACAGACACAAAACCTTGCCGATGTCAAATCCATATTCCTCCTAGCTAAAGTAGCAATTCCAAAGAAATATTCCCTTCTGGACCTCTCCCTTCTCCACCTCTTTCAAACACCAACTTGACATGCATCCATCCTTCTAGAAGATAATTAAGTTGATTGTTACAAAGGGGGAAAAACAAAGCTAAGGAACCCCCTCAAAATAAGGGGGTTAACTTTTCCCAATAGCATGTACATAATCATTTACCGTTTTCCTATTTACACTTAACATAGCATTTATAAAAGTACCATTGATTTTTTTAAAAGTATTATTATCTGTAAGTGCTAGCTGGCAGATTGTTTACATAAAACATTCCAAATTACAATTTATAACAAGTTTAAAGCTCCTTGAAGGTCACTTGATGCAAGTTTACTACTTGGCATTCACTTAGCAAGAGAGAGAGTGAGTGTAAGAGAGAAAAGCAGTGCAACGTCCTTTTTTATTTATTTTTTTTACCTTGCCCTTGTCAAAGTAATGGATAATTTCTTGATACAGCTGATCTTTAAGTTGTCCTTGAGTAGTTGCCTGGTATCCATCTCGCTGAGTAAGGTGTGCTGCACATGCCTCTTCTGACCACTAAACCAGATATGAAGAGTGAAAAAAATGAAGGCAATAAAAGGTGATGTCACGTATCAATGACATTGGGCTAATGCAAACATTCAATCTTGGTTTATTTTTAAAGTGCCATCAGGGCTGGCCTGACATCTAAAAGATTGTACATCACCTATGATGCTGTATTTTGATTTCCACGGCAGTGGAGTTACTTATCTGAATTATACTAATTAGAGGATGGTTTATATATCTCAGCATCAGCTAAGGGATAGGCCTTTGTAGTGGTTACCTTTCTCCTTGATCGAAGGAATTTGTTTGTTTATGTAACTGCTCCGGTTTGTTAATGTAAAGACTCTGCAGCCATGGAGTCTATATCACGTCACTTCTTGTGGCTCCCCTTGGCTGCAAATGGCAAACCACAGCCAAAGGGAGCCATGAGACACTGTGGCTGTACAGCCTTTAAGTAAACAAACAAGAGCAGCCCATTAGTAGCTTTCTAAAAGTGGGTCCACAGCCCACTTTGAGAAACACTGCACTATTAGATTAGAGAGGCCTTTGATACCTAGTGATTCTGCCCATGAAGATACTTATGCACTGTAATCAAGTCAACTTCCTATCTTCTGATAAATAAACAGATTTAGCTATTTAAGTGTGTCATTGCTCCTAGATTTATATCTTTGCATTTTGCTTTATTAAATCACATTTTGTTTGAATTGGCCCAGATTACCAATTGACCTGGAGCACTCTGTATGGCAATCTGTTTATCTGGGCTAGAACTATTTTAGTATATACTCAATAGAATGAGTTCAATCAGAAGTATGTTACATCTGGAAGGAAGACTAAATGTGTTCCTAAAGACCCTGTGATAATTTCAATTTCTAAATCTCAACTGCTCAGCTACAAGTAACCTATGTTTATGTAGCTGGGTTGCTAAATTACACCAATTCCAAAAAGGAGTTTAAAATGCAATTACATTTTTCCATACACAAGGTCTCCATGAGGGAGTAGTGTTTGTGTACACAGGGCCTTGAGTAATTCTAAGAACTAGACAGCTGTTCTCTCTGCACAGAGGCATAGTTATAACAGATTTAAAGGTGGGATTTTCAAAAGCACTCAGTACCGACCTAAATCTCATCCCATTAATACCAATTTGTGTTTTATCATTGACTTCAATCTGAGGACATTTATTCAAGGGCTTAGTGCCATTGAAAATCCCATCTTCAAAGTCCAGTGGGGAAAAAAAGAGGCTTTGAAGTGTAAAGTTACATGCTCCTCAGTAATGAAGAGACAGAACATGAACAGAAAAAACAGTAAATAAAGTTTAGAAATTTTGACATAATCCAACCATTCACTGAAGGATTTAGAAGAAAACATTTCTCAGGGCAGGTTAGCCTATAAAACTTATTGATGGATTTCTTGAACCTTTTTCTGAAGTATTTGGTCTTGACTACTATTAGAGAGAAGCTAGCAGATTAGAGAGACCACTGGTCTCATCTAGTAAAGCTTTTCCTATGGGAAGTAATGTAGACTATTTACTCTTTACTAAGTGAAAAATCACAACATATCTGACTTATTTGGAAGATAAAACAAATGCTACTTTTATTTTTGCCATTTTTATTGTCTTACATTGTGCAAGCAGAAAACTGATTATATGATGGATATATCATTGCAAGTAATTAACAGCTGTAAATTAAAATATTATCTGGTATCTGAAAATATATTATAAGGGAGAATAATAATATACTTCAAAGTGTAGTTAATCGAAATAGTTCAAATTCTAAATTAAAGCCACATAAAAACATATTGATTAAAAACTGTAAAATCTAATGATTAAAAGACAGAATGAAATTATATTGCACTCTGAACTCCATCATCTTCTGGAAGATGCAGCACCTAAGTAGAGGGAAATGTTTTATCTGGTCTTCATATTTAGGTGTAGAATGTATGATCAAGCAAGTTATGACAATCTAGACATCATTTAATAACTCCAGTAAGAAAATATTATCTAGACTGTCAATCCCATTTAATTTCCTTGATGGGAATAACAGATTCTTGTTCACAAAATCACTTAGTTATTCTCTCAAAATTGAAATCAAAGCCCCCTGGAAAATTCAGTGTGACTGAAGGTGTCAGAGTCATCTTCTGAAATCTTTATCTTCATAAATTATGTCTCTGTATAGTATATTTCACAATGAAAGCAGTAACATACAAAAAACTCCATTTAATAAAACCACTTTAGCAATCGCTTTATCTTTTAAGTGCCAGCTGATTAACATTTACATTTTCATTTTTATATAATCACCAATCAGGTTTGAAGTCAAGTATATACTTTTGAAAATGTCTTCATACAATTCCACAAAAATGCTCTGAACTTACAGACCTTACAGCTACAACAATTTTGGCACAATTTATTCACAATCCTGAGGTAAAAAATAAGAAGGTATGCAGTGTAGCCTGTAAAGTGTCTTATTCAACACTTTCAATTGTCTCTCTCTAAATGTATGCATTTTTATTCTTTACTCCAAACATTTTTCTGTGTTCCCCAGATTAAGACTACTAAAACTACTTTGCTGCACATTATCAGTTAAAAATCCTTAAGACATCAGTAGTTGTTAGAAAGGCTGGCTTCTATCTTACAAAGGACCACCTGGCTTTCATATCTCTCTCATTGGTAGGTTTTTGTCCTTTGGCAAATAGCATTGACAAGGGATTTTTGCAGAACTTTCTACTACAGGATACTGCATTATACAATACACAATTGTAAAAGCTGTAATTTATACATCTGTTAAAATTACATGTTTTTAGCTCCTTAAATACACACACATACATATTTACATAAATGCATGCCCTCTAAATTGATGAATTATTGTGACATACAATTAAATATTATAGTGAAAAATTGCAAAAATTAAACTACTTTGTACTCACTGCTGTCTGCCTGAAACTGCAATTTTTACAAAGTTTGGATGCAAAACTTAAGCATCAAACTTACAAAATGTAATCTTTGGATACTTTGCATATCAGTCAATTCCTTGTGGAATTCAGGATTACCATTCTAATTCTCACATGGGAGTTCCCAAGACACTTTTAATTTCCATTTCTGAAAGCAGTGATTTCACTATACTTTCCTATTTTACTATAAACATTGTTTTTCATCAATTACCTATCCTCATTCTTTAAAAAACAAAACAAACAAACAAACAAACAAACAAACAAAACCCTCAGGGCTGGGCTTGAATGAAAACTTTTTTCACTGTTGAAAATAGCATTTGTTCAAAACTGAAATTTCATGCTGGCATTTTGTATTTTTTGTGAAAATTTCCATTATATGTTTATTAGAATTTCTACCAAAACTGTAATTAAATATTTTTCAACATTGTTCTGGAAATAATTGTGCTTAGTATTATGAAAATAACTGCAGTGAAAGTTTTCATTAAAATATCATGAAAGATTCTACAGAAAATAGCAGATTTTGAAATTTACCTAAACAGAAATAAATTTCAAATTTTTTCACCAAATCATTTCCCTATTTTAAATGATTTAATTACCATAACAAATTTAAGTCTATAGTAGGATGTAATTCCCGGTACATACTTTGCACGAACACAAGCTTACTAAGGAAACTCTCATACACTGAAGGCCAAATTCTGCTCTCAATGAAGTATATGAAATTTCCACTACAGTCTATGGGAAGAATGATCAAAAGAATGAGTATCTTGACACATCTACCACACTGAAGTATATGAACTATCCAAAGTCAAGTTCCAAATTTAATTCTTTCTGCTACCTTTCTTTCTACATTGTTTGAGTCACTTTCAGTGACCAGAGCAGCCAACTGACTTCATCAGGCCCTGGGCAAGGTAACAGGAGGAGAGGACAGTTTTGGGCTCCCAGATGGGGAAGAGCTTCAGGTGGAAGAAGCACAGCTGGGGGCTAGTTTCTCTCAGCCAGTCTGTCAGTGCTGCCCGGTGTGCATTGCTCAAACCTCCATCAACAATTTAAAGGGGCAGGGCTCCATCCACTGTCATTGCCACTGTAGCAAATTCTACAAAATGCTAAATATATTTCAAGTACTTTACCTTAAGAAGCTTTGCATGAAGAAGTAATGTGTAGGCAGCTTCAGTGTAGTTATCACACTCTTTGTGCAGGTCACATAGTTTGTACAAATATCTATGGTAATAAAAAAGGAGAATCAGTACTTAAAATGTCACAAAATAATTTGTGTTGAAGACTAACAGCTAAATTTTATGTTCAAACTGTAAAACATATCTCAATTTTTAAAAACTCATATTTCACTACTTCAGACAAATTTTTAGGATACAGCATGCCAAGAAAATCAACGGCAACATCAACAAAATATATTAGTATGTTTTAGAATAGCTATAAAACTGTTACTTGTTTTGATGTCCTATTTTCTGGAGATGAGAGAAAAAAAGATAAGCAAATAATACATTATAAAAGTGCAATTCTCTTTAAAGAGGAACACTAGGAATGTCCAGTCCTCACTTTATTTTCTCAAACTGCTCACGTTGGATAAAAATTCAGATTAAAATACATGAAAATAAATACAAAACACTAATTATAGGATACAGAACAATAACTTTGCACTTCTATAATGCCTTTCTTCCAAGATCTGAAAATGCCATGCAAACTTTAAAGAATTTAACTTCACATCACACCTTTGTGGTGGGCGTTGTTATCCTAATCTTACCAGGGATGTAAACAAGCAGTCGACTAGTTGACTACCCAATAAGCCTAGGATTATTGGGTAGTCAATTTGTCTTCTTGCATTTCCCCCCACTTGCTGCCACTGAATCAGAGGCAACTAGTAGTGGGGGAGAGAAGAGCAGGAGCCAGAGCTGGGAGAAGCTGGCTTAAAAGCCGGTTACTCACAGCACCGTCTTCACGGTGCTGCCTGCTCCCCGTCCCACTCCCCCCATGCTGCTGTAGAGAGGAGGATGCTGCGAACAAGTCTCTGCCTGTGGCAGGCCCAAGCTCACTCTGGGCAGAGACTGCTCTGGCAGCAGCCCTGTCTGCAGCCAGCCCAGGCCACCATGTCCCATCATGTCATGTCCGGTCCAAGACCTACTCCCACTGTGGCTCTTATCATTCTTAAATCTTACAGATAGGGAAACAGACACAAGAGAACAAAATAATGGGCTCAGCATCATATGGGATCACTGCGGGAGAGCCAGCAAATTAAAAAGTCATTCTAACTTCCTCTTTTGTCTGAACCTGCAGCTCGACCTACATCCTGAAATAATTCTATTTTCTTTTTTTTGCAGCTATTAACAAAAAATAGATTAATCATATATATTAAAAATTAAATTAAGTACAAGCTTCAGTGTTCATACTAAACTGATCCAGCAGTTTCTGCTTACAGAAACGGTTTGATCCTGTTCCCATTGACTTAAATGGGTTCTGTGCTGGTCTCGTACATATGTTGTATCAAACATACACACGAATAATGCTCTTGAATGCATTTTCATAGTCATCAATCCATCTGTCTGTTGCAAGAACTAAATTTAGCTTTACTATAAAGGCAAGGTACACTGAAGAGAATTATGCTACTCTTTCTGCCAAGATGAGAATAAGTGGCTGAGAAGGAATGCATGAAGGATATGCAAATACTCATAATATAGCAATGAGAAAATCTATTTCTTCATTTTATCACAACAATACAACAGATGGAGGATCTCAAATTGATGTAAAAACATGGGAGTAGTAACACTGTAAGTTCCCTAGAACGGCAATCAGAAGCCTTCTTATAATGTTACCATTTTGAAAGTTACATAATAAAAGGAAAATTTTATATGGGCTCCTGAAAGCTTTACACTTAAAATAAACATTTGGCATATCTTCAATTAGTTCTTTGCTTTTCTTTGTCTTTATTGTCTTCTGTATGTCATAATAGTTTTAAGTATTTAAATATTTATAACAATGAAAGTGAAGGTGATACAGTAGGGTTACAAGAGTTTAGGCGTCTAATTCTAATGCCTATTATTCTCTGTAAACTCATTCTGCTTAAGTCTCAGTACAGGTATGTGTCTCTCATAATTGCCTTTGTTTCCCCTCTAAATCAGAAACTTAATAGACAAATCATTATCTCCAATTACAGCAAAGTGAGCAGGGAAAAATATGTCAAAGGGCATGCTTACACACCTTATGTACATTTCTTCTCTTTCAATTTCTTTGTAGAAATTCTGAAATATAAAATTATAATTAGGTTTTTAAGGACTTTAATTTCTGAGTGTGTGAAGTACACCGAATATATACCAAGTTAAAATTCATAATTGCACAACAGTAACTTCAAAAACTGCAAAAGGAAATCTGCCTCTGGTAGAGAAGCCTATAAGTTACTTTACTATAAAATCTAAAGCCAAGATGATGTTTTACTGTGTAACATTTTAGGGCAAACGTTCCACTGCAAAGGTTATGAATCAAAAGCACAGTACTGTTAGAAATACAGTTCTGGCAATTGCAAGTCACACACCATTAACTGCTTTCAGTTAAAAAGTGGTAATCTACAAAAACATATTTTTAAAATAACTGTTGATCTATGGTTTTTAAAATCTCAACCCTGAGTAATAAGCCAGTCATTCTTGAATTCTAATATTTTCTTTAAAAATATAAAGTTTAAATTATTCAATTTTTCAGTTTTTATACAACACATCTGATCTTACAGCAGCAAATTCCAGAAAACTACTGGCCTTAAGACAGAAAGAGATAAAGTATTGCAAATACTGGAAACATGTAGGGAAGATATTAAAGATGCTAAGATTTACCATTTTCCCTCCCTCAGCTGTCCCAGGAAGACACAGGTTCTTTAACAGGAAAAAGGCTAGTGCACCTGTGACTAATCAGTTGCTTCTTACCTGGGATTAAAGGAAGGCACCTTTGCCATATAAGTGGTAGAGGCTGAGAAGGAGTCATTAGAACAAGAACAGGTAAGGTAAGGGTTGCCTGGGAGTGCAGAATTGATAGGCACTGAATCATAGAATCATAGAGCTGGAAGAGACCTCAGAAGGTCATCAAGTCCAGCCCCCTGCTCTAGGCAGGACCAATCTCAACTATATCAACATGGCCAGGGCTTTGTCAAGCCGACTTAAACACCTCTAGGGTTGGAGACTCCACTACTTCCCTAGGTAACCCGTTATAGTGCTTCACTTCCCTCCTAATGAAATAGTTTTTCCTAATATCCAATTAATATTGGACCTCTCCCACCACAACTTGAGATCATTGCTCCTTGTTCTGCCATCTGTCACATCTGAGAACAGCCTCTCTCCATCCTCTTTGGAACCTCTCTTCAGGTAGTTGAAGGCTGCTATCAAATCCCCCCTCACTCTTCGCTTCTGCAGACTAAACAGACCCAACTCCCTCAGCCTCTCCTCATAAGTCATATGCTCCAGCCCCTAATCATTTTGGTTGACCTCCGCTGGACCCTCTCCAATGCGTCCACATCCTTTTTGTAGTGGGGGGAGGGGGGGGCCCAGAACTGGGGGGGGGCAGAACTGGACACAATACTCCAGATGTGGTCTCACCAAAGCCGAATAAAGGGAATAATGACATCTCTGGATCTGCTGGCAATGCTCCTCTTAATGCAACCTAATATGCCATTAGCCTTCTTGGTTACAAGGGCACACTGTTGACTCATATCCAGCTTCTCATCCACTGTAACCCCCAGGTCCTTTTCTGCAGAACTACTACTTAAATGGTTGGTCCCCAGCTTGTAACTTTGCTTGGGATTCTTCCGTCCCAAGTGCAGGACTCTGCACCTGTCCTCGTTGAACCTCATCAGATTTCTTGTGGCCCAATCCTCCAATTTGTCTAAGTCACTCTGGACCCTATCTCTGCCCTTAAGCATATCCACCTCTCCCCCTAGTTTAGTGCCAGAGCTTAGAAGCTCCTTAACAGGAGATTCAGGTGGTTCCAGGGGGAAAGCTGGAAGAAGGGGAGGAGCAAGAGAGGTTTGCTGGCTGAAGGTGCAAAGTTTGAGAATGAAGACCAGAGAAATGCAGACGCAAAGAGTACTGACAGCAGGATTTTACCTACTTAACATCTCTAGACTAGATGGTTGAACACAAGGGAACAGTGACAAGTACACCCCTGGTAAGCGCAAACTCCCTATAGAGCGGAGTTCATTTCAGCTGGAAGGGCTGGGGTGGCTGTTCTGATAAAGGTCAGTACTAGAAAGGACTGAAAAAGAGCACATGTGTGGTGGCAAAGAGTACTGACAGCAGGATTTTACCTACTTAACATCTCTAGACTAGATGGTTGAACACAAGGGAACAGTGACAAGTACACCCCTGGTAAGCGCAAACTCCCTATAGAGCGGAGTTCATTTCAGCTGGAAGGGCTGGGGTGGCTGTTCTGATAAAGGTCAGTACTAGAAAGGACTGAAAAAGAGCACATGTGTGGTGGAAGTTGCCAGAGCATGCTATATGCTATATCACGGACGGGCAAATACTGGTCTGCAAGCCGGATTTGGTCCACTAGTGGTAGCCCCTGGCAGGCTGCCACTGCTATATTTACCATTGCCTCCGCAGGTACAGGCAATCACAGCTCCTGATTGCTGCAGATCACTGCTCCCAGTCATTGGGGCTAATCCTGGTGAACCTCCACCATTTTCTTGCCCACCCCCATGCTATGTTGATGTATTAGATGATGTGGGAAGTACTTACTTTGTAATAAAATAGGTGCTACCCCAGAGCTGCAGGGGTTTGGAACTGTCATATCTAGAGCTGTTGAGGCTTAGCCCTGACTTAATTAAGCACTGAGGGTATGTCTACACTGCAGTGTTTTTCTGGAAAAACTATACTTACATCCACTCTGCTATTGCATTCTTTCAACAGAAAGTTGAAAGAATGGATAGGTTTTTTTGACGGGTAAACCTCTTTCTACAAGGAAGAAACCTTTATCTCAAAAAGCTTTTTTGGAAAAAGGCATGCGTGGATGCAGAAAAGGGAGTTCTTTCGAAAGAAGAGGCCTCTGGAAAATAACACAGGTGGCATGGTGGCCACTCTGTCCATACTAATCACAACTTAAATGCAAGATAGCGTCCAATCAATGTGGATGCTATCTTTCAGAAAAGCATATAGCTTTTTTTGTTGCACTTTTGCTGTGTGGACGCTCTCTTTCTAAATAAGCTTTTCCGGAAGATCTCTTCTGGAAAAGCTTCTTTCAAAAGAAACTTGCAGTCTAGACGTTGCCTGAATGTGGGATTTTAAGGACCATCACAACTGGATATGAGAATTGGACTATAGATGGGACTTTTGTTGTGCCTTATTTGTGGCAAGAAACCTTGCGTAGAATTACAGGGAACTCTGAGGGAGTGAAAGAGTGGGAGGATTTCTGTTTCTGTTGCAGCCTGCCAATGGAGAGCACTGCAAGTGGAGCAGCACTATGGCCCCAATTTAATTTCATGTTTATATCTTTAAAAAGTTAAAATCTATCAAAAATCATAGAATCCTAGGGCTGGAAAAGACCTCAGTCATCGAGTCCAGCCCCTTGCCAAAGCAGGACCAATCCCAACTAAAACATCCCAGCCAGGGCTTTGTCAAGATTCTACCACCTCCATAGGTAACCCATTCCAGTACTTCAGTACCCTCTTTGTGAAATAGCTTTTCCTTATATCCAACCTAGACCTCCCTCACTGCAACTTGAGACCATTGCTCCTCATTCAGTCATCTCTCACTGCTGAGAACAGCCTCTCTCCATCCTCATTGGAACGCCCCTTCAGGTAGCTAAAGGCTGCTATCAAATCCACCTTCACTCTTCTCTTCTGTAGACTAAATAAGCCCAAATCCCTAAGCCTCTCCTCATAAGTCATGTACTCCAGCCCGCTAAACATTTTTGTTGCCTTCCACTGGACTTTCTTCAATATGTCCACATACTTTCT